GTGGCATACCGCTGAATCTTTTCTAACTTTGTCTTGTGTTTAACTAGGTATGGACTCCAGGCTGGAGCTGCATATTCCAGGATTGGTCTGACATAAATGGTATACAGGGTCCTGAACGATTCCTTACACAAGTTTCTAAAGGCAGTTCTTATGTTGGCCAACCTAGCATATGCCGCTGATGATATCCTTTTGATTTGGGCCTCTGGGGACAGGTTCGGTGTGATATCAATCCCCAGATCTTTCTCTCTATTTGACTCTTGCAGGATTTCACCTCCCAGATGGTACCTTGTGTTCAGCCTCCTGCCCCTTCGCCTAATTTCATTACTTTACACTTTCTTGAGTTGAACTGTAGCAATCATTTTCTAGACCTTTCCTCCAGTTTGTCCAGGTCATCCTGTAGTCTCTGTCTATCTTCATCTGTCTTGATTCTTCTCATAATTTTTGCGTCATCAGCAAACATTGATAGGAATGAGTCTATAGCCTCCGGAAGATCGTTTACATATATATTAGAAACAGGATGGGTCCAAGTACTGAGCCCTGTGGGACTTCGCTGGTGACATCTAGCCACCCTGATGTCTTCCCCCTCACAGTTACTCGCTGTTTTCTGTTGCTTAAGTACTCCCTTATCCACTGGAACACCTTCCCTTTTACTCTTGCCTGTTGCTCCAACTTTTTTCACAGCCTTTTATGGGGTACTGTGTCAAAGGCTTTTTGGCAATCCAGGAAAATGCAGTCGGCCCACCCTTCTATTTCCTGCCTAATTTTCGTTGCCTGGTCATAAAATTCTATTAAACCTATGAGGCACGATTTACCATCTCTGAACCCATGTTGGTGGTGTGTTACAAAGTTATTTCCCTCCAGATGCTCTTCGAGCCTTTTCCTCACGATCTTCTCCGTCATCTTGCATGGTATGCAAGTTAGGGAAACTGGCCTGTAGTTCAGTGCCTCTTGCCTATCACCTTTATTGTTTATTGGGACCACATTAGCTGTCTTCCAACTTTCTGGAAGGTCTCCTGTTTCCAGTGACCTGTTATACACCATACCCTGGAAACACAAACCGTAACTGTCTCTATTTTCCGCTTGTTACAACTTGTAATAAAGTTGTTACATCTTGGCTTAACGTGTTTATGACGTATTAGAACGTTGTTACAACTTGCTATATTGGTTGTTATAACAGGTTAGGAGGTGTTAAAACTTGCTCGAACGTTGTACCAACGTCGTAGTTTCGGTGTGTGTTTGGCGGGTAGAGAGTGGCACAATTAGTGCTTCTGCACCTTCATTTAGTATCCATGGTGAGATTCTGTCAGGCTCAACAGCCTTTGTCACATCCAGCTCCAACAGACACCTTTTGACCTCATCACTGGTGAGGTCAAATTCCTCCAAGGTTGCCTGGTGTGTCTCCTCCTCATATAGTGCAGGGGCTTCTCCTTGTTCTATTGTGAAGACCTCCTGGAATCTCTTGTTGGGTTCTTCACACACCTTGTCATTCTCTGTGTATCTGTTCTCCCCTTTTTTCAGTTTCATCACTTGTTCCTTCACTGCTGTTTTCCTCCTGATGTGGCTGTGGAGCAGCTTTGATTGGGTCTTGGCTTTACTCACGGTGTCATTTTCATACTGTCTCTCTGCTTCCCTCCTCACTCTGAGGTACTCATTTCTGGCCCTCTGATATCTCTTCCTGCTCTCCGGTGTTCCGTTATTTCTGTAGTTTTCCATGTTCTTTTACTCATTTGCTTCGCTTCCTTACATTCCTGGTTGAGCCATGGATTTTTAAGTTTTTTCGTTTTTCTCCTTTCGGACCAGGATAAATCTGTTTGCAGCTTCCTGGCACTTCTGGGTGACATAATCCATCATGTTCTGTACACTCTTGTCTCTGAGTTCTGTTTGTGTGTGTGTGTGTACTTACCTAGCTGTAGTCACCTAATTGTGCTTGAGTTAAACTTAAGTAGCCATTTTCTAGACCATTCCTTCAGTTTGTCCAGCCCATCCCATAGTCTCTGTCTGTTTTCGTTTAATTCTTATTATATTTTTTGGATCATCAGCAAACATTGAGAGGAATTAGTCTCAACTCTCTGGAAGATCGTTTACATATATCAGAAACAGGATGGGTCCAGTTACAGAGCCCTGTGGGACTCTGCTGGTAACATCTCGCCACCCTGATGTCTCCCCCTTCACAGTTACTTGCTGTTTCCTGTTGCTTAGATACTCCCTTATCTACTGGAGCACCTTACCTTTTACTCCTGCCTGTTTTTTTCTAACTTTTGTAACAGCTTTTTATGGGGTACTGTGTCAAAGGCTTTCTGACAGTCCAAAAAAATGCAATCTGCACCATCTTCTCTTTCTTGCATAATTTTTGTCTCCTGGTCATAGAATTCTATTAATCTTGTGAGGCACGATTTATCATCCCTGAACCCCTGCTGGTGGTGTGTTACAAAGCTCTTTCCCTCCAGATGTTCTACGAACCTTTTCCTCACAATCTTCTCCATCACCTTGCATGGTATTCATGTTAGGGAAACTGGCCTGTAGTTCAGTACCTCTTGCCTGTCACCCATTTTGTATATTCGGACTACATTAGCTGTCTTCCTGCTTTCCAGTAGGTCTCCTGCTTTTAGTGATCTGTCATACACCATAGAGAGTGGCACACTTAGTGCTTTTGCACCTTCTTTTAGTATACAGGGTGAGATTCTGATTCCTTTTGACCTCATCACTTTTGAACTCAAATTCCTACAGAGTTGCTTGGTTTGCTGCCTCCTCATTTAGTACAAGGACTTCTCCTTGCTCGATTGTGAAGACCTCCTGGACTCTCTTGTTGTGTTCTACACACACCTTCTTGTCATTCTTTGTGTATCTGTTCTCCTTTTTTCTCAGTTTCATCATTTGTTTTTTTCCTGATATGATTGTGGAGCAATTTTTATTGGGTCTTGGCTTTACCCACGATGTTATTTTCATCTCTTAATTTCTGTCTCTCTTCTTCTCTTCTCACCCTTGAGGTACTCATTTATTGCTCTCTGGTATCTCACCCTGCTCTCTGGTGTTTTGTTATTCCTGTAGTTTCTCTAATGTTCTTGTACTCAATTACTTCGCTACTTTACATTCCTGACTGAACTATGGATTCTTCTATTGCTTTTTATTTTTCACGTTTGGTCCGGGATAAACCGGTCTGCAGCTTTCTGACAGTTCTGGTTGATGTAGTTCATCATATCTTATACAGTCTTTTCTTCGAGTTCTGTTTCCCATGGTATTCCTATTAGAAAGTTCCTCATCTCGTCATATTTTCCTCTTCGGTAATTTAGCGTTTTCCTTTCCGATCCCATCTTTGGATAGATTATTCCTCCCTCCACCAGATACTCAAATGTCAATACACTATGGTCACTCATTCATATGGGGCTTCAAATTTTACTTCCCTTATTTCTGACTCATTCAAAGTGAATATCAGGTCGAGTCTAGCTGGTTCGTCATTGCCTCTCATTCTTGTGGATCCTTTGATATGTTGGCTCAGAAAGTTTCTTGTTGCTACATCCAAGAGGTTAACTCTCCATGTATCTGCACCTCCATGTGGTTACCCATTCTCCCAGTCTATCTTTCTATGGTTGATGTTTTCCATGATTCAGATGTTTTCTCTGAATCCTTCACATCCCGGAATTTCCATTTATTCAAAACTCCATTCCTTCCTTATCAGCAGGGCCACTCCTCTACCTTCTCTCTCTTTCTTTACTATAAAGTAGTCCTTGGGAAACAGTGCATTTGTTATGACTCTTGACAATATTGTTCCTGTGAGTCCTATTACATCTGGGTTTTCTTCCTGCGCCCTTTTGGCCAGTTTACTTGCTGTATTAGTAATCCCATCCATGTCTGAGTACATTACATTGAAGCTCACTTTCCTATATTAATTATCACACACACTCCTCACTGGTTTAGGAAGACGTTCCAACGGCAGGGCAACTTGGTTAGGCTAATCCTCCTGTTGGGTAGTTACCAGGGGTTAGGAAGCAGGTGGGATAGGGGATGGAGGACTTTGATCTTGCCTGGGCCTGCTTGGAACAGGAATAAGTCCACAGGGTAGGGGCAGGTGGTGTTCATGGTGCTTGAGGTGAAGTCTCCTCCTACTGTTGGGTAGTTACCAGGGGGTTGGGGTGATGTTGGGCGGGGGATGACGGGCTTAGATCTTGCTTGGGCCTGTTTGGGGAAGGAAGAAGACCAGGGAGTGGGGAGTCTGGGGGTACTAAAGGTAAAGGGGGGGGGGTTGATGGGCATTGTTTAGGGGCAAGGGAGGGTTTGTGTTTGGGGTGGAGGGGGGGGGGGGAAAGGCTCCTATCGGGTGGTGGGTTAGGGTGTTGCAGTCCCCTCTGGGGTTCCTGAATTGCTGGATTGAGGTTCCCCACTCCCCTCTGAGAATATTGGGCTGGTGGTTCCCTGGCTCCCTTCCCTTAACCTGCGCCTTATCCTTGCATCTGCTGCCTGTATTATCTCGTCCCTGATCCCTCTGAAGGAATACCTCTCTGTATTTCCCCACATACTTCAGTTTGCTCTTTTTTACTAGGATGACCTCTTTGATGGCATTGTTCCTGAATACTACCTTGATCAATCGATTTTTGTCTTTGTTGTACTGGCCAATCCAGAAAAAACTTTTCTATTCCTTGTTCAACCCCTTCCATTCCTATCTCCTTCAGTATCCCTGACACTGCAGCTTTGTCTTTAGCCCTCCACTCTTCCTGCTTGGAACCTTTTTGTTTCTTGATACCTACCCCGACTACAGCTCTAGTGTGCCAGAAGGGTGCTGTTGATATTCATGGACAAATCTAGTGCGCCAATTTGGTGCTGTCGAGAAAAGCAAACAGAACACTGTTTGGGTCTGTTTATACTACTTGTTTATGGGGAGATGTGTGAGGGTACGTGGGAAAGGCCAGGATCAACATGGACACCTCTGGGTACCCCTTTCTATAATTACAAATGTTAATTGCTAGACAAATGTAAATTAAGATAAACAAGATATATTTTTTCAGGGACCCGGAACAACATACTTCAGTTCTGGGCAGAAGTGGAAACAGCACCGAGCTCCGAGGGCGACGAGCGGCAACAGAAGGAGCCGGAGGAGGCAGCTTTAGACCCTAGGATGGAAACTAATGTCACAAACTCCTCTGACTCCCTTCGTGACATCATTACCAGTGCCACCACCTCTCCCTCAACCAGTGCCACCACCTCTCCCTCAACCAGTGCCACCACCTCACCCTCAACCAGTGCCACCACCTCTCCCTCAACCAGTGCCACCACCTCTCCCTCAACCAGTGCCACCACCTCTCCCTCAACCAGTGCCACCACCTCACCCTCAACCAGTGCCACCACCTCTCCCTCAACCAGTGCCACCACCTCTCCCTCAACCAGTGCCACCACCTCTCCCTCAACCAGTGCCATCACCTCTCCCTCAACCAATGCCACCACCGCTCCCACAACCAGTGCCATCACCTCTCCCTCAACCAGTGCCACCAATGCTCCCTCAACCAGTGCCACCAATGCTCCCTCAACCAGTGCCACCAATGCTCCCTCAACCAGTGCCACCAATGCTCCCACAACCAGTGCCACCACCGCTCCCACAACCAGTGCCACCAATGCTCGCACAACCAGTGCCACCACCGCTCCCACAACCAGTGCCCCCCGCACAGTGCCAGGCACCACCGTCCTGCTGAGCTGGGAGCCACCACGTGATCCAAATGGTCCTCCCCTGGCTTACCTCCTCCAGTACTCCCACAGTGAGGCTCCTCAGGTCAGTTGTGGAGAAGTGTGCGGTAATGTGGCAGCTTCAGGTGGTGCCGGCGCCCGCCCTCATTACCCTCTTACTATTAATGCACTAAAGTAGTCGTTTGAGATGATGCAAACGTTGTTATACAGCTTTCGTATTTAGTTCACAGAAGGTCTATTGCGCTGGAACTTATATATAGTGTATATATATATAGACTCTATATATATAGACTTATATATAGACTCTATAGTGGTCCAGGACACGACTCTTTAGTGGTCCAGGACACGACTCTATAGTGGTCCAGGACACGACTCTATAGTGGTCCAGGACACGACTCTATAGTGGTCCAGGACACGACTCTATAGTGGTCCAGGAAACGACTCTATAGTGGTCCTGGACACGACTCTATAGTGGTCCAGGATACGACTCTTTAGTGGTCCAGGACACGACTCTATAGTGGTCCAGGAAACGACTCTTTAGTGGTCCAGGACACGACTCTATAGTGGTCCAGGACACGACTCTTTAGTGGTCCAGGACACGACTCTATACTGGTCCAGGACACGACTCTTTAGTGGTCCAGGACACGACTCTATAGTGGTCCAGGACACGACTCTATAGTGGTCCAGGACACGACTCTATAGTGGTCCAGGACACGACTCTTTAGTGGTCCAGGACACGACTCTATAGTGGTCCAGGACACGACTCTTTAGTGTTCCAGGATACGACTCTTTAGTGGTCCAGGACACGACTCTATAGTGGTCCAGGACACGACTCTATAATAGTCCAGTACACGACTCTATAATGGTCCAGTACACGATTATATAGTGGTCAAAGACACGACTCTATAGTGCTCCAGTACACGACTCTATAATGGTCTAGTACACGACTCTATAATGGTCCAGTACACCACTCTATAGTGGTCCAGGACACGACTCTATAATGGTCCAGGACACGACTCTATAGTGGTCCAGTACACGATTCTATAATGGTCAAAGACACGACTCTATAGTGCTCCGGTACACGACTCTATAATGGTCCAGTACACGACTCTATAGTGGTTCAGTACACGACTGTATAATGGTCCAATACACGACTCTATAGTGGTCCAGTACACGACTCTATAGTGGTCCAAGACACGACTCTATAGTGGTCCGGAACACAACTCTATAATGGTTCAAGAGACGACTTTATAGTGGTCCAAGACACGACTCTATAGTGGTCCAGTACACCACTCTATAGTGGTCCAGTACACGACTCTAGAGTACACGACTCTATAGTGGTCCAGTACACGACTCTATAGTGGTCCAGTACACGACTCTATAGTGGTCCAAGACACGACTCTATAGTGGTCCAAGACACGACTCTATAGTTGTCCAAGACACGACTCTATAGTGGTCCAAGACACGACTCTATAGTGGTCCAAGACACGACTCTATAGTGGTCCAGTACACGATTTTATAGTGGTCCAGTACACGACTCTATAGTGGTCCAGTACACGACTCTATAGTGGTCCAGTACACGACTCTAGAGTGGTCCAGTACACGACTCTATAGTGGTCCAGCACACGACTCTATAGTGGTCCAGTACACGACTCTATAGTGGTCCAAGACACGACTCTATAGTGGTCCAGGACACGACTCTATAATGGTCCAAGACACGACTCTATAGTGGTCCAGTACACGACTCTATAGTGGTCCAAGACGCGACTCTATAGTGGTCCAGTATACGACTCTATAGTGGTCCAAGACACGACTCTATAGTGGTCCAGTACACGACTCTATAATGGTCCAGGACACGACTCTATAGTGGTCCAAGACACGACTCTATAGTGGTCCAAGACACGACTCTATAGTGGTCCAAGACACGACTCTATAGTGGTCCAAGACACGACTCTATAGTGGTCCAAGACACGACTCTATAGTGGTCCAAGACACGACTCTATAGTGGTCCAAGACACGACTCTATAGTGGTCCAAGACACGACTCTATAGTGGTCCAAGACACGACTCTATAGTGGTCCAAGACACGACTCTATAGTGGTCCAAGACACGACTCTATAGTGGTCCAAGACACGACTCTATAGTGGTCCAAGACACGACTCTATAGTGGTCCAAGACACGACTCTATAGTGGTCCAAGACACGACTCTATAGTGGTCCAAGACACGACTCTATAGTGGTCCAGGACAAATCAAAACTTCCTCAATTTCTAATTTTATGTCGCGTTATTGTGAGTCTTTGTCAGCATCTAGAATACATTCTGTCCTCAGGCCAGGCTCGTTAAGGCGGGGAACGTCCGTTCAGCCATACTAACATGCTATTAATATTATATTAATATTTTAATATAAAAAGCTGTTTAGTAAAAATGGGTTTGTTCTCATATATGAATTAATATTATTGTGCATTAAAATTTAATGCATAAAAAAATTAAATCTATGTACAGATAGACGTAGGTTAGGCTAGGTTTTTAGGCTCTGTTGGCGATTATTTGTCAATTGTCAACACGATAACACGCTCGCCCTTAATTACATCACACTTGACCCATCAAGCATTCAGTGAGTAATTACATTTAATTACTGTCAAACGAACAGCTAACTAATCAAAACGAGTTATGTTAGGCACTACTGTCACACTCCCGACAGTCTTCCCACAAGTCTTTGTCAATTCCCTTTGATGAATGTTAATTACTCTAATTAACTTGAGCAATTAACTCTCCCACAGATAATTAATACTACACGAATACGTTACTCTCCACACTGCTTAACCAGGTCTCATCAAACACTGTGAATTCACGAGGCGGCGCAAGTAATTAGCGGCCAAACAGACAGGCAATTAGTCCAGAAGGAATCTACGCTACTCTCAATTGATGTCGCCCACGCACACTTAACCTGGAATCCATACTTTGTTTTTGTAATCATTTCATTAATAAGTAAATCAGTCCATACAAAACAAGTCATCTTACCTCTGTAACAGATGAGTAACACCCCCTGAGGGGCGTTACCCTGAGGGGCGTTACCTCTGGAAAAATGAAAGTTGTTCAATGTCAACCAATATTTTTTGACTAGTTGTATATAAAAAGGGCTGGAATTGTTCCAAGTTTTAGTACTGCAGCGTAAAAAAAGGGAGATTTTTTATTTTTTTATTTTTTCAACGAATTTTACACATTTTCATGTGTATATTTGCAGCCACACCTTTCAGATATAATCATTCTATGACACTTTTCTAACACATTAGCATATAATAAAGGATCTATAGGAGGGGATTTTCCAAAACGTCTTTAGTTTTCCTAATACAAATAGTCAAAGTTCCCCCCTAAATTATGCAAATAAATCATGTTTATTGCTATTTTTAAAATCAATAAATGAACTTAGGAAAAATACTTCCTTCAGATTTTAGAGACATAAACGTTACATATAAGGTGTAAGTTTCATGTAAATTGAATAAAAAATGAAAGAGATATTTGTACGTTTATGTTACTTGAAAATAAATAAGTAAAAAATGATGTCTAAGATGTTGCTATCTGTGACTTGAAAATGACATCAACCAATTTCCTCCAAAATTGCCACCCTTACAGATAGGCTTACGTGCAGTCACGTGTATAAGTTTCATTCTAATCGTCCGATAAACAAAAGACAGAGATAAAATTAAAAAAAAGGCAAAATTGTTTTTAAACTAATTTTTTTTTAATCAAATTAATTATATATTTTTTTAATATATGGTATTGTGATAGCTGAGAGTCATAGACATGATTTCAGCTGACACTTGTGTTTGATAACCGTTTTTGACCATTTTGGAAAATTGTTGACACATAATTCAATATTTTTTTCTCCCTTCCTATTTAAGCTACGATGCTGAGACTTAGACCAGATAAAACCCTTTTCATATACAACTTGTCAAAAAAGTTTGATTGAAATCGAACGAGTTTTCATTTATTGCAAATTTTGGGCAAATTTGGAAATGACCCTTAAGCAGGCTTCGTTTTAACGCCATACTCACTGCTGTTGTACCAAAATGCACCAAATTCCTAATCATTCAGGGAACATATTTTACCAATTAAACTTAAAGAAATGTTAAAAGTAAATAAACTTAAAGAAATGTTAAAAGTAAATAAACTTAAAGAAATGTTAAAAGTAAATAAACTTAAAGAAATGTTAAAAGTAAATAAACTTAAAGAAATGTTAAAAGTAAATAAACTTAAAGAAATGAGAGGAACGTTCGGTGTAGTCTTAAGAAATTGCAGGAAATTAGATATTTCAAGGCTAGCAAAATAGATACATAAATCCTTACCTAACCTCTCTACTTAACACATGCAAGTTATTTTACAGGGAAAAATAGTTAATGGTGTTTAAGTGATAAATTGTAATGATTGTAATTTATCATATGTTGGAGAGACTGATCGTGGTTAATGAAAACAGTTGATGAACACAAAAGCAGCAAACAAATTTGATAAGAATGATGCCATCGCAAACCATTGTTGGGATTTTAATCACAGGATGAATTTTAATAACAGTAGAATTGTATACAATTGATCAAAAATCAAAGGGAGACGCCCAATAGAATAAGTAATTACAGATTCTATAAATACAGTAAAAGGCAATTATTTATTTTAGTAAAGGAGATCCGATTAACCGTAAAATTATTCTTATGGAAACAAAACCAACTAATCTCATTAATTCACATCAGCACAGACCTTGTGGGGAAAGTGATTACGCGGCCCCCCTGTACACAGGGACCTGTGTTCAGGATAATTGTGTTTTCTTCTGAAGCTTCGACATCCCTTGGCGAGTCCCTGGCGAGTCCCTGGAGAGTCCCTGGCGAGTCCCTGGAAAGTCCCAGGGAAGTCCCAGGGAAGTCCCTAGCGAGTCCCTGGCTAGTCCCAGGAGAGTCCCTAGCGAATCCCTGGCGAGTCCCTGGAAAGTCCCAGGGAAGTTCCTGGCGAGTCCTTGGCGCGTCCCTAGGTAGTCCCCCGGAAGTCCATGGGGAGCATAATCACAACGACGTCTGGTGATGGACGCCATGGGAGACGTTCTGCCAGATTTACAGACTCAAACTCCTAGAATCTTGTTCACAAAATTGTATACACCACCTTGAGAACATTTGTAGGTTACATTCAAAAATAATTTTTTTTAATGCACTCACCCATATATTGAGTCTGTCCTTCACTTTCATTGAAGCACTACGGCATTGTAGTAAATCTGTCAATAATGAATATTTACAGTGAAAAGTCTGTGAAAATGAGTTCAGATCATGGAATGATAAGATGAGGTAAGACTTCATATTGTTGTGTTACAGCACCCACACACAGCGAGGCCTCGGGGCCACACCACGAGCATATCCCTCCCTCACACTGTGTTTATTAAACAACCTCACTCACACCCACACACTGAGCGTGTCAGGCCATCTAGCCAGGAATAACTGTACTCCATGATGCCCTTATCCTGCCATCTAGCCAGGAATAATTGTACTCCATGATGCCCTTATCCTGCCATCTAGCCAGGAATAATTGTACTCCATGATGCCCTTATCCTGCCATCTAGCCAGGAATAATTGTACTCCATGATGCCCTTATCCTGCCATCTAGCCAGGAATAATTGTACTCCATGATGCCCTTATCCTGCCATCTAGCCAGGAATAATTGTACTCCATGATGCCCTTATCCTGCCATCTAGCCAGGAATGATTACACTCCATGATGCCCTTATCCTGCCATCTAGCCTAGAATGATTGCACTCCATGATGCCCTTATCCTGCCATCTAGGCAAGAATAATTGCTCTCCTGGATTGCAAGGAGTGCAATCCTGCCTTATCCTGCCAGCTAGCTAGGAATAATTGCACTACATGATGCCCTTATCCTGCCATCTAGTCAGGAATAATTGCACAACATTATCTACATATCCATTCTTATCTTTTCTTTCTCTTGCAATCCAGGTAAATACCTAGACCAAACATATAACTAACTTCTACTATTTAAATGAAACTAAGAAACAATTCCATTAAGAATGCTGTTAAAGCCATTGGACCCACAGGGCAAGACCATGGTGGAGGCGTGCGTGCTGGAGGAGGAGGCTCGCGCAGCCGGCTACAGGTACCGGCTAGATGGCCTCCAGCCGGGCACAACATACCACCTGGGCATCAAGTTGCGGTCTCTGGGAGCCGACGGTCACTACACTACCAGGATCATCAAGGTGGGTCCTCTCGTGTCACCTAACCTCACCATAGTGGCGGTTCTCCCCTCCCGCATACACACTCGTTGTATTTACTGCAATGATGTTCAGTGTTTACATTTATTGTGCTCTGCAAACCTATCCTGTGACTGGTAGTGAAACCCAAACCCATCCTGTGAGAGGCAGCGAACCCCATACTCATCCTTTTAGTGATAGTGGCCCCATACCCATCCTGTGAATAGTAGTGAACCCCATACCCATCCTGCGAGAGGCAGCGAACCCCATACTCATCCTGTTAGTGATAGTGGCCCCATACCCATCCTTTGAGTTGTAGTGGAAAAAGTGAGAGGTATATAATGGGCTCAAGAACTATCCCACAGCTCATTTAGCGAAGCATTGCACCAGTCTGGGTAAATTAGTTACAGAGTTAAAGTATATATCAACACTCTTTTATAGCATAGAGAGTTCGAGAATTTGACCACCACACTTAAGACAAACTAATTACATATGTGGTCAGGTAGTTACGTAATATTTGATTTGCTTATCATGCAGGTATGCACCCCCAGGCCCATCCTGTGGGCAACTTACTGCAGTTATGTACCCCCGAGCCCGTCCTGTGGGCAGCTTACAGCAGGTATGCACCCCCGAGCCCGTCCTGTGTTTAGCTTACTGCAGGTATGCACCCCCGAGCCCGTCCTGTGGGCAGCTTACTGCAGATATGCACCCCAGGCCCGTCCAGTGGGGAGCTTACTGCAGGTATGCACCCCCGAGCCCGACCTGTGGGCAGCTTACTGCAGATATGCACCCCAGGCCCGTCCAGTGGGGAGCTTACTGCAGGTATGCACCCCAGGCCCATCCTGTGGGCAGCTTACTGCAGGTATGCACCCCTGGGCCCGTCCAGTGGGGAGCTTACTGCAGTTATGCACACCGGGCCCATCCTGTGGGCAGCTTACTGCAGGTATGCACCCCCGGGCCCGTCCTGTGGGCAGCTTACAGCAGGTATGCACCCCCAGGCTCATCCTGTGGGCAGCTTACTGCAGGTATGCACCCCCGGGCCCGTCCTGTGGGCAGCTTACAGCAGGTATGCACCCCCAGGCCCGTCCTGTGGGCAGCTTACTGCAGGTATGCACCCCCGGGCCCGTCCTGTGGGCAGCTTACTGCAGGTATGCACCCCGGGCCCATGCAGTGGGGAGCTTACTGCAGGTATGCACCCCGGGCCCATCCAGTGGGGAGCTTGCTGCAGGTATGCACCCCGGGCCTGTCCAGTGGGGAGCTTACTGCAGGTATGCACCCTTGGACCCATCTAATATTCACAATATTTTTTTTCAATGCTGGCGATTAAGTGTATTTATGTAGTATGCTGACAGTCAGGATTGTATTTATTACATTTAGTATTACAACGTATTTAGCATTCAGAGGATGGGCTGCTACATTAAGTCCAGCAGCTAACACACTGTTACTACCGACGGCGGCCACTTTGTCCTCTCACAGGATCAAGTCAGGAGTTCTGGACTGCCCAATGTGAACTACCTGCCACAGCATAATTGCTTCATCACATCAGTTCTGTGAACATAAACATCATTAGCCAGACAGACTGTATAATGGGTGACCTTAGGCTAACATCCTTCACTGTGGAACTGAAATTGTATTCGCATGCACAACCTAGATGGCGTTGATATCGTTACGTTACCCACCAGAGGTCATCATCATCGATCTCGTCTTCTAACTGAAGAAACAGGAGCCTTTCACCGACGCCACACCACCACCAACAGATGGCATTTTCTGCGTCTCACCTAATACCTGGGAGTTGGAGTGCAGATCCATAGATGGCGCCAAAATCGCCACTCCACACTCCAGCAATGGTGTTCATACCGTAACACGTAGATTGTGTGCTTCTTTTCCTTAGATGTAAGATTTCTGTGATGAGTTGTATATTATCTATATACAAGGCTGAATAACAATGCCTGGAGCGAAGATTTAGTGGTATGAATGATGGCATCATGTAAATTATTCTCAATGCATAATTTATGGCCTCCTTCAGTGCATATAATTCTGTTTAGCAATATTGAGCATCCACTATTCATGCTACAGTAAGATTAAAGGTTCTTAGTGTAAACTGCTGCCCCAGCAGAATCTCTTTCTTGATCAACTGATCTATCTGTGAAGATGTGAGTTGTTGTCTGTCTTGAGATGCTTTCCATGTTGTTCTATGACTGTTTTGAGTGTTCAAAGTGACTGTTCTATGACTGCTGCACATGCTGATTTTTTAACTGGTAACTGTAATCCTTCAATGATTATCTTTAGACTCGATTCTTCCCATGGAGGAGGCTGCCGAAAGTGCTGATATGGTCTATCTTCATTGTATTTAATGGTCTGTTTCAAGTCCACTTTCTTTAGAATCTTGACCAGATATCCGTCCATGCACTTGTTCTACATTGAAGGTTTCTGTGAAGCGATCTGTGTATGCTATCTTTGATTGACAGTCTTGCAGAGGTTCGAACAAGTTTTGCTGTCATGGTGGTTATTCTAAGACTTGTCACAAAGCGCAAAGCTAAGTTTCTGGCTTTACAACGTTGCCGAAGATATTACATTTCTTTAGTGAATTTTAACTTCTGTCTATTATTACTCCAAGGTATTGAAAAGAGGTGACAACTCAATTTCTTGTCCTTGTATTGCGACTCTGATGTCTAGAGTTCTCATTTTAATGGCCATTGCTTTGGTTTTATTTCTGTTTATTTTCATTGCTATGCATTCTACCTCCCTGATGATGTCTAGGATTTTTAGTCCAGGTTCCTGGCGCCTTTGCCATTGATGATGACCACAAAGCCGTCTGTATAGTTAAGCAATTTGGCTTTTGGTAACTTGAACTTCATTGTTCCATGAGACAGTTGAAGAGGAAGGGGCTTAGTATTTCACCCTGCAGAGTTCCATTTTCCAGCCTCTTTGAGGAGGATATTTTTCATTGGAATTTGACTTTAGTGTCTGTTAAGCAGACTTTGTTTGTCAAAGACAAGAGCGTGTCCGTTAATTTCCTTATCTACCAGGCAGCACAGCATTGGCAAGCTCGAAGGCTTTTTCTAGGTCCAGAAAAATAAGGATTCCTGGTGTGTCATTGATTTTTCCAGGAGGGTGGTAAGACATTCCAACCTGTTCTCGCACTTGCTTATAGTCAATACTGGCTTATTTAATAAGTGCATATGTGACATACTAATTGATTGTGAATATTTTAGTTTACCTTGAAAAGCTTCATAGAAAACACCGACCTCACCTAACCTTCTTAGTATGTTAAGATAAGCATCTTATTGCTTCTTATTTACAATTATTACTTAACCTATCAATGGTATAGGTTAAGTAATAATTGTAATTAACAAGCAATAAGATGCTTATCTTAACATACTAAGAAGGTTAGGTGAGGTCGGTGTTTTCTATGAAGCTTTTCAAGGTAAACTAAAATATTCACAATCAATTAGTATGTCACATATGCACTTATTAAATAAGCCAATATTGACTATAAGCAAGTGCGAGAACGGATTGCACATTCTGTGGTTCCCACACCTTTTCTGTAAGCAAACATATTTTGGTGCAGTTGATTGGCTTTCCATTTAATTCGATTAAGAGACATTCTTTCTGCAGCTTTCGCCAGACAGCTTGTTAAGGAGATGGGTCTTGGATTTCCTGGGTCTTTGGGTTTTGGAATGGGAACTATAATTGCACAATTCCAAGAGAGTGGTCGAGTTCTTGTCAACCATACTCTGTTGATGAGATTCAAAAAGGCTTCTTCATCTTTTTCTCCTAGCTTGGCCAGCATGTTGTAAGTGATTTTGTCCTCACCTGGAGCTGTGTTTTTACTTTTCTTTGTAGCTCTTCTGAGTTCTTTCAGATTGAAAGGTTGGTCTAGTTCGTCAGGTAAGGCTAAAGCATCATCTATTTTTTTCCATCTTGCTGCTTGAAGTGTTTGTTTGTGAGTCAGAGTGGCTTGAGGAAGTTGAGTGGAGGTGACTCTTGAAGCAAATAGATATGCAAATCTTTCTGCTTCTTGCTCTGAATGAACATGATGGGGCGGAGCTGGAGGCAACTTTCCTTTGGCCTTGTTGTTCTACCTCCAGATGTCGCCCAAAAGATGTATGCTGATTTAGCTTGGTACACCATTCGAGCAATTTTTTTTCTTTGATTGTTGCTGTTTCTTCATGCACATGATTTCGAACAGCTCTAAGGAGTTCCAGATTAGCTTGGGTTCTTTGTCGTCTGAAATTCTTTTGTGCACAATTTAGTCTATTATGTAGTTCTTTGATCCTACCACAGTAATACCAATGGTCTTTATGCTGTTGGGTAATTGTTTTCTTCTTGGGGATGGAGTGATTTGCTGCTCTATGTATTGCATTTACTAAATCTTTTTCCATATCTTCAGTGTTGTCAGGCGGAGTGTAGATTTGGTACCAAATTTCAAGAGATTCCTGAAATTTCATCCTATCTGTTTTGATAAAGTCCCATCCGGGCTCGGGAGCTGGAGGTCTGGGAGGTAGTGCTATATTAATAACTGTTCTTGTAGCAAAGTGGTCACTAGTCAGTACATGATCAACTGACCAATGACACAACTCATAAATACTGGTGGAAACAAACGTGAGATCCAGTTCCACCCACCAATGTTGGTTGGTTCCGTCGAGTTAAGCAGACGGACTTCAGGCACTTCATCCAAAAAGGTGTTCAATATGTTTAACATTGGTGTCGGTTCTTGGTGAATCAAGTAGTAATTCACTATGATCGTTGAATTCACCCGAGATGATAGTAGGTGTAGTAACTGCTGTTTCAAAGATTGCAGAGATATCCATATCGTGTTCTCCGTGGCTCTTGTATACATTGCAGATGGACAGCGTTGAGTTTATCATAGTGAGATTAACTCCCATAATTTCGACGATCTCACCACAGTCAGTCAGGTCTGTGATTGCCGTGGCATTGATATGATTTCTTACTAGTATTGAAGTGCCTCTGGTGTCACCTTGTGCAATTGGGCAGTGGTACCTTTGTTACTCTGGAATATGGTCTAAAGGTGAGACTTTGAACTGAACTGGTCTGATGATAAACCTTTGAACATTGCTGGTCTGAAGGTGAACCTTTGAACAGTGCTCGTTTGAAGGTGAACGTTTAAACAGTGCTGGTCTAAATATGAGCCTTTAAACAGTGCAGGTCAGATGGCGAGCTTTTGAACTGCGCTAGTCTAAAGGTGAGCCTTTGAACTGCGTTGGTCTGAATGGAGCCCTTTTAAGCAACGGTAGTCTGAAAGTGAATGTTTGGACACCGGTGGTCAACACCTGTGAGCACCGGCTAGCACTGTTGAAAGTGAGCCTGTCAACAGTGCAAATTGAAGGTGAATTTATGAACAGTGATTGTCCGAAGTTCAGCCTCTTAACAGCGCTGGTATAAAAGAGCGCCTCTGAACAGCTCTAGTCTGAAGGTGAGCCTTTGAACAGTTGTGGTCTGAAGGCGGTGTGTAATTATACAAGTTGATGAATGTGACTGAAGGCTGCTTACCTCTTGTTGTAATTCATTGTAATGGTATTATTGCTCCGTGTTCCTTGTGTGGAGGAGCATGGGAGAGAGTGGGATAGTGCGAGGGGGGATGGGGGATAGGGAGGAGGTGGGTTGAGAGTAGGAGAGTAGTCACCTCATCATGAGGTGGGGTGAGGCCATCATGGATCATGGGTGTGTGAGGGGGTGAAGGATGAGGGTGAAGACAGAGACTGTGGGGAACAGTGGGGCCTGAAAGAGAGGGGGTGAAGGCTGAGGGTGAGGACTGAATGCTGGAGGGGATTGTGGAGTGTAATGATTTATTCAACTATTGTGGTTGACCTGAGCTAAGTATTGACTGCAGAAAAGGCTTGCGTAGTGCTTTTAAAGTATTGCTAATAGAAATATTCAGGTATGATTCCTTCACATGTTCTTCTGTTATAACTTGTAAACTTGATACAAATTATATTTGTGAAATGTAATACGGGAAATTAAAAAGTAAATTTTAAGCATGAATATTCATTGTCAGATCCCAGGAACATATTGGTTATGGACCTTCATGAGCGCTTTCGTGTGTGGCGGTGTGCTGGGGGTCTGTATGATGACAGTCCTCACCTGCCACAGGCGCCGCAGACTGGCCTCTCACCTCCACACTCCCCAGTACGTCACCCACAACCCCAACTATGGAGGTAACACCATTCTCTTTCTCATATATATATATAAATGTCGTACCTAGTAGCCAGAATGCACTTCTCGGCCTACTATGCAAGGCCCGATTTGCCTAATAAGCCAAGTTTTCCTGAATTAATATATTTTTTCTAATTTTTTTCTTATGAAATGATAAAGCTACCCATTTCATTATGTATGAGGTCATTTTTTATTTATTGGAGTTAAAATTAACTTAGATATATGACCGAACCTAACCAACCATACCTAACCTAACCTAACCTATCTTTATAGGTTAGGTTAAGTTAGGTAGCCGAAAAAGTTAGGTTAGGTTAGGTAGGTTAGGTAGTCGAAAAACAATTAATTCATGAAAACTTGGCTTATTAGGCAAATCGGGCCTTGCATAGTAGGCTGAGAAGTGCGTTCTGGCTACTAGGTACGACATATACACACACACATATATATATATATATATATATATATATATATATATATATATATATATATATATATATATATATTAGTATATTTTGGTAGCAGTCTTTCCTGTAGACATATATTATTAAATATGACCGAAAAAGTAAGATTAATAATTCTAACACGAATTTTCTCAATCTTTCGTACATTACGCTTCACTGTTGGAGGTAAATCAAAAATCACTTCTCCAAAATTCATTTTTATTTCTAGTCTGACGCGACACGGGCGCGTTTCGTAAAACTTATTACATTTTCAAAGACTTCACAAATACACAACTGATTAGAACGTATCTCTCATTTTATATCTACATTTGAGTGAGGTGGGAAGGGTGATGTGGCATTAACACAAGACAGAACAGGAGGGGATATTAATAGGGTATTAAAAGTATCAACACAAGACAGAACAGAAACAATGGGTATTGAATAGAAGTGTTTGTAGAAAGCCTATTGGTCCATATTTCTTGATGCTTCTATATTGGAGCGGAGTCTTGAGGTGGGTAGAATATAGTTGTGCAATAATTGGCTGTTGATTGCTGGTGTTGACTTCTTGATGTGTAGTGCCTCGCAAACGTCAAGCCGCCTGCTATCGCTGTATCTATCGATGATTTCTGTGTTGTTTACTAGGATTTCTCTGGCGATGGTTTGGTTATGGGAAGAGATTATATGTTCCTTAATGGAGCCCTGTTGCTTATGCATCGTTAAACGCCTAGAAAGAGATGTTGTTGTCTTGCCTATATACTGGGTTTTTTGGAGCTTACAGTCCCCAAGTGGGCATTTGAAGGCATAGACGACATTAGTCTCTTTTAAAGCGTTCTGTTTTGTGTCTGGAGAGTTTCTCATGAGTAGGCTGGCCGTTTTTCTGGTTTTATAGTAAATCGTCAGTTGTATCCTCTGATTTTTGTCTGTAGGGATAACGTTTCTATTAACAATATCTTTCAGGACCCTTTCCTCCGTTTTATGAGCTGTGGAAAAGAAGTTCCTGTAAAATAGTCTAATAGGGGGTATAGGTGTTGTGTTAGTTGTCTCTTCAGAGGTTGCATGGCTTTTCACTTTCCTTCTTATGATGTCTTCGATGCAACCTCTGAAGAGACAACTAACACAACACCTATACCCCCTATTAGACTATTTTTCAGGAACTTCTTTTCCACAGCTCATAAAACGGAGGAAAGGGTCCTGAAAGATATTGTTAATAGAAACGTTATCCCTACAGACAAAAATCAGAGGATACAACTGACGATTTACTATAAAACCAGAAAAACGGCCAGCCTACTCATGAGAAACTCTCCAGACACAAAACAGAACGCTTTAAAAGAGACTAATGTCGTCTATGCCTTCAAATGCCCACTTGGGGACTGTAAGCTCCAAAAAACCCAGTATATAGGCAAGACAACAACATCTCTTTCTAGGCGTTTAACGATGCATAAGCAACAGGGCTCCATTAAGGAACATATAATCTCTTCCCATAACCAAACCATCGCCAGAGAAATCCTAGTAAACAACACAGAAATCATCGATTGATACAGCGATAGCAGGCGGCTTGACGTTTGCGAGGCACTACACATCAAGAAGTCAACACCAGCAATCAACAGCCAATTATTGCACAACTATATTCTACCCACCTCAAGACTCCGCTCCAATATAGAAGCATCAAGAAATATGGACCAATAGGCTTTCTACAAACACTTCTATTCAATACCCATTGTTTCTGTTCTGTCTTGTGTTGATACTTTTAATACCCTATTAATATCCCCTCCTGTTCTGTCTTGTGTTAATGCCACATCACCCTTCCCACCTCACTCAAATGTAGATATAAAATCAGAGATACGTTCTAATCAGTTGTGTATTTGTGAAGTCTTTGAAAATGTAATAAGTTTTACGAAACGCGCCCGTGTCGCGTCAGACTAGAAATAAAAATGAATTTTGGAGAAGTGATTTTTGATTTACCTCCAACAGTGAAGCGTAATGTACGAAAGATTGAGAAAATTCGTGTTAGAATTATTAATCTTACTTTTTCGGTCATATTTAATAATATATATATATATATATATATATATATATATATATATATATATATATATATATATATATGTCGTACCTAGTAGCCAGAACGCACTTCTCAGCCTACTATGCAAGGCCCAATTTGCATAATAAGCCAAGTTTTCATGAAATAATTGTTTTTCGACTACCTAACCTACCTAACCTAACCTAACCTAACTTTTTCTGCTACCAAACCGAACCTAACCTATAAAGATAGGTTAGGTTAGGTTAGGTAGGGTTGGTTAGGTTTGGTCATATATCTACGTTAATTTTAACTCCAATAAAATTTTTTTTACCTCATACATAATGAAATGGGTAGCTTTATCATTTCATAAGAAAAAAATTAGAGAAAATATATTAATTCAAGAAAACTTGGCTTATTAGGCAAATCAGGCCTTGCATAGTAGGCTGAGAAGTGCATTCTGGCTACTAGGTACGACATATATATATATATATATATATATATATATATATATATATATATATATATATATGTCGTACCTAGTAGCCAGAACGCACTTCTCGGCCTACTGTGCAAGGCCCGATTTGCCTAATAAGCCAAATGTTCATGAATTTATATATTTTTCGATTTTTTTTTCTAATGGAATGATAAATCTATCCATTTTATTATGTATGAGTTCATTATTTTTAATTTGAGTTAAAACTAACGTAGATATATGACCGAACCTAACCAACCCTACCTAACCTAACCTAACCTATCTTTATTGGTTAGGTTAGGTTAGGTAGCCGAAAAAGTTAGGTTAGGTTAGGTTAGGTAGGTTAGGTAGTCGAAAAACAGTTAATTCATGAAAACTTGGCTTATTAGGCAAATTGGGCCTTGCATAGTAGGCTGAGAAGTGCGTTCTGGCTACTAGGTACGACATATATATATATATATATATATATATATATATATATATATATATATATATATATATATATATATATATATATATATATATATATATTAGTATATTTTGGTAGCAGTCTTTCCTGTAGACATATATTATTAAATATGACCGAAAAAGTAAGATTAATAATTCTAACACGAATTTTCTCAATCTTTCGTACATTTCTTTTCACTGCTGGTGGTAATTCAAAAATCAATTCTCCAAAATTCATTTTTATTTCTAGTCTGACGCGACACTTGAGCGCGTTTCGTAAAACTTAATACATTTTCAAAGACTTTAGTTTACACATACACAACTGAATAGAACTTACACATCTCCGATTTGTTTATATCTACATTTGAGTGAGGTGGATGGGGTGAGGTGGTATTAATAGGGTATTAAATTCATCAACACAAGACAGAACACGAAACAATGGGTATTGAATGGAAGTGATTGTAGAAAGCCTATTGGTCCATATTTCTTGATGCTTCTATATTGGAGCGGAGTCTTGAGGTGGGTAGAATATAGTTGTGCATTAATTGGCTGTTGATTGCTGGTGTTGACTTCTTAATGTGTAGTGCCTCGCAAACGTCAAGCCGTCTGCTATCGCTGTATCTATCGATGATTTCTGTGTTGTTTACTAGGATTTCTCTGGCGATGGTTTGGTTGTGGGAAGAAATTATATGTTCCTTAATGGAGCCCTGTTGCTTATGCATCGTTAAACGCCTAGAAAGAGATGTTGTTGTCTTGCCTATATACTGGGTTTTTTGGAGCTTACAGTCCCCAAGAGGGCATTTGAAGGCATAGACGACGTTGGTCTCTTTTAAAGCGTTCTGCTTTGTGTCTGGAGAGTTTCTCATGAGTAGGCTGGCCGTTTTTCTGGTTTTATAGTATATCGTCAGTTGTATCCTCTGATTTTTGTCTGTAGGGATAACGTTTCTATTAACAATATCTTTCAGGACCCTTTCCTCCGTTTCATGAGCTGTGGAGAAGAAGTTCTTGTAAAATAGTCTAATAGGGGGTATAGGTGTTGTGTTAGTTGTCTCTTCAGAGGTTGCATGGCGTTTCACTTTCCTTCTTATATATATATATATATATATATATATATATATATATATATATATATATATATATATATATATATATATATATATATATATATATATATATATATATATATATATATATATATATATATATATATATATATATATATATATATTCTTACTAATTCTTCTTAATTGAAAAGAAAACTCATGTTACCAAAATTCATTGTAAGGTAACTCTAATAATTATTTAAGGGTATATTTTCTAAACAATTATATATTATTTTACTGTTTAGTCTACACCAGGAGGTAAAGTTATTGTATTGTTTAGTCTACACATGGAGGTAAAGTTATTGTATTGTTTAGTCTACACCAAGAGGTAAAGTTATTGTATTGTTTAGTCTACACCAAGAGGTAAAGTTATTGTATTGTTTAGTCTACATCAGGAGGTGATCATTTATTAAAATTTCTCAATATAATATTAAATATTTAACTAAATTTGCATTACAAAGAACACAACTTCCTTCACTGTTTAACACTGCATTTGTGACGTTCTTGACCACAGCGTTAAAATTTTTGTGCTCTTTCCATATGACTTGTTGCTTTTTGGCCGCGTGTTGACGAAAGCAACACATAATAATATAATTTTAACTCTTCACATTACAATTATTATTTTTGTTATATATCCCTTTTTCTTGAGGTTATCTTGAGGTTATCTTGAGGTTATCTTGAGAGACTAAATACCCAACTCCTTGTTTATACTATTTGTCATGAACCTGTGATTTCCTTCCACTGCAATAGTTTGTTGACTTGCAGAGTAGTTTGTTGACTTGCAGAGTAGTTTGTTGACTTGCAGAGTAGTTTGTTGACTTGCAGAGTAGTTTGTTGACTTACAGAATAGTTTGTTGACTTACAAAGTAGTTTGTTGACTTACAGAATAGTTTGTTGACTTGCAGAGTAGTTTGTTGACTTGCAGAGTAGTTTGTTGACTTGCAGAGTAGTTTGTTGACTTGCAGAATAGTTTGTTGACTTACAGAGTAGTTTGTTGACTTACAGAGTAGTTTGTTGACTTACAAAGTAGTTTGTTGACTTGCAGAGTAGTTTGTTGACTTGCTGAGTAGTTTGTTGACTTGCAAAGTAGTTTGTTGACTTGCAGAATAGTTTGTTGACTTGCAGAGTAGTTTGTTGACTTGCAGAGTAGTTTGTTGACTTGCAGAGTAGTTTGTTGACTTGCAGAGTAGTTTGTTGACTTGCAGAGTAGTTTGTTGACTTGCAGAGTAGTTTGTTGACTTGCAGAGTAGTTTGTTGACTTGCAGAGTAGTTTGTTGACTTGCAGAATAGTTTGTTGACTTGCAGAATAGTTTGTTGACTTGCAGAATAGTTTGTTGACTCTCGGAGTAGTTTGTTGACTTTCAGAGTAGTTTGTTGACATGCAGAGTAGTTTGTTGACTCTCGGAGTAGTTTGTTGACTTTCAGAGTAGTTTGTTGACTTGCAGAGTAGTTTGTTGACATGCAGAGTAGTTTGTTGACTCTCGGAGTAGTTTGTTAACTTGCAGAGTAGTTTGTTGACTTGCAGAGTAGTTTGTTGACTCTCGGAGTAGTTTGTTGACTTGCAGAGTAGTTTGTTGACTTGCAGAGTAGTTTGTTGACATGCAGAGTAGTTTGTTGACTTGCAGAGTAGTTTGTTGACTTGCAGAGTAGTTTGTTGACTCTCGGAGTAGTTTGTTGACTTGCAGAGTAGTTTGTTGACTTGCAGAGTAGTTTGTTGTCTTTTAGTTTAATTTGTTAACCTTTGGTGCAATAAAATTTATTTTCATAAAATACAATTGTAAAATATTTAACTTTCTTAAGTCTCAAATTTACGCGTTTTGAATTCAGAGAAAAATCATTTAACAAAGTAGTACATTTTATTATTTATATATATTACCTGTGAGGATAATGGTTGAGTGTGTTGGTGTAGTACTCAAGTTAACACACAGGTTAATTGTCTGATCTCGTGTTATAAGACAATGTTCTCCAGACTATGTTAAACATGTTCCCTGGTGATGTTGAGAACAACATTTGATGATCTCAGAACTGTTGCTGGGTGACACGCTGGAGCAGATCAGAGAGAAGTACGTCATCAAGAGTGAGGCCCTGGAGGTCAACCTTGAGCACCTGCTGGGCGAGGGATGTTTCGGCTTGGTGTACAAAGGTGTTCTGAGCACGGAGCCTGGGGCGGAGGTGAAGGTGGCGGTGAAGGTCCTCAATGACAAGGCCACCTACTCCGACGTCAAGCGCTTCCTGCAGGAGGCAGTTGTCATGCAGTGAGTTACAGTGTCAGTTGTCATGTAGTGAGTTACAGTGTCAGTTGTCATGTAGTGAGTTACAGTGTCAGTTGTCATGTAGTGAGTTACAGTGTCAGTTGTCATGTAGTGAGTTACAGTGTCAGTTGTCATGTAGTGAGTTAGGGTCAGTTGTCATGCTGTGAGTTACAGTGCCAGTTGTCATGCAGTGAGTTAGGGTCAGTTGTCATGCAGTGAGTTACAGTGTCAGTTGTCATGCAGTGAGTTACAGTGTTTGAGTAATAATTACGTTGTTTTATTGTGGTGAAAGATGACTAGTGGTTCAGTTGGTGGCGCGTGTGTGTCGGTTGTCCTGTTCACGAAACAGTTACGCAAACACTTGCGAACCTGTCCATCTTTTCTCAGTCTTTGGGAGCTTTGTTTACAATTATTAAACAGTTAATGAGCTCCGAAGCACCAGGAGGCTGTTTATAGCCATAATAACAGTTGATTGGGAAGTTTTCATGCTTGTAAACCGTTTAATAAATGTAACCAAAGCCGTCAAAGATTGAGGAAAGATGTACACATTCGTAAGTACTTGCGTAAATGATTCGTGAATCTGGCCCCTAGGGCAACCGGCTTTATCCCAACCACATTGCTGCAGTTTTCTCTTGATTAATGGGGGGGGGGTTCTCTTATATAAACCGTAAGCAGACCAGTACATTGCCGTGCGCTCTTCTCCTTATAACTGGTATATTTGTAGGATTTACATTCATGAAGTAAATCACACATGCTGAGTAAAGCTTCGTTTATACTGACAGAGACATCAACTCCAACTTCGTGGTACGTCTGGTGGGAGTGGTGGCCAACTTCCCCCCCATATATGTTGTCATGGAGCTGATGGAGAGAGGCGACCTCAAGTCCTTCCTCCGGACTGAGTCTGGTGGCACACTCACAGAGATGGTATGTTCGTCTTCCTGTAAATTCTAACTTTACTGTCAAGTCTCTAAGATGCAGCTGCAGCTGCAAGATGCTATTACTACTATGGTAAGGCATGTCAAGCTCGGCTTGCACTGTCTCAGTCATATTGTCCTGAGCACAGGACCTGCCTCAGAAGTGTCCTGAGCACAGGACCTGCCTCAGGAGTGTCCTGAGCACAGGACCTGCCTCAGGAGTGTCCTGAGCACAGGACCTGCCTCAGGAGTGTCCTGAGCACAGGACCTGCCTCAGGAGTGTCCTGAGCACATGACCTGCCTGAGGAGTGTCCTGAGCACAGGACCTGCCTCAGGAGTGTCCTGAGCACAGGACCTGCCTCAGGAGTGTCCTGAGCACAGGACCTGCCTCAGGAGTGTCCTGAGCACAGGACCTGCCTCAGGAGTGTCCTGAGCACATGACCTGCCTCAGGAGTGTCCTGAGCACAGGACCTGCCTCAGGAGTGAAGCCGTTTTGGCCACAAGTGACGACTGGATCGTGAGGCTTGTTTAGAAACCTGGTATAAGGATCAGATCCATCCGTCTGATGTGGGTTGATTACAATTCAAAACCGGATATTATATTTCCTATATTTCCATAGAATCAAATGATGAGATTTCATTACATACAGAAATATTAAACGATTACTGATTGTTACATTAAGCAGTGTTTTACGATATATATTAATCAAATACTCACATGGTCACTGGAAAGAACCATCTGACGTTGACTACAGCTACAGTGTCGGGATGAAGGGAACAATTTGTTCACAGGTAACCTCACGTGAACAGTAACAACGACATGCACATCATTTGCAACTATGTAGAGTTTAGCGCCCAACATCTCTGGAGAGAAAACATACTATGCTCATTGACTAGTAAGGTGTTCATGGGAATTGTTGTGGACTACCACGTTCTCACAGTATGGATGAATGGTATTCCTGCGAGCCTACTGTGACTGGACCAGTACCCGATGAATCACTTCATGTCTTCGATCGTGCTTGGACAGAAGGGCAACACGAGATTCCAATCAGTACAGAGCATCGCTATTTAATCAACAGAGAGAACTAACATATAGGCTTCAGAGCTGCACACAAGGGAGCTTCACCTCACACTCAAGTGACCAGTTTGATGTTGAACTGAGACATTTGAGTGTGGCTGAACCCTGTACTCACCCAGTTGTTGCATGCTGGTAAATTGTGAGAGAATGGTGAACTCTCAGCCAGACTTGTTCCTCATGGCTCAAGTGCTGAGCAGAGCTGTGCACTGAGCATTGGTTATCACCTTTATCCAAAGACATGTACCTTGTTTCAGGTGTCTATACGGATCGGCGCTCGCATTGGCAGTTCAGATATCATGTGTGTGGTGACATACATCCTCTGATTATACTAGTAGATAATGATTTATGTATCTCACTTGTATAATCATAGGTGGATCTCGCCGCCATTTTGGATAGTGGGAGGTAGCCAGAGTACCAAGTAAAGGTACACCTAGTTAACTACTTAAATTTATTACGGAATTAAATGTTTAAAAAAAAAGTTTGTTAACAGGCAACTTAAATCTTGTTGAAATGAGATTACTGATGCAACACAGGTGATTATTGTGAGTATGACCAGTCTTGCCCCCGAGTCTATTGCACATTTCCATAATTTTAAGATACATATATTTTTATGTCAGTTATGAATGTAACTGTACGTATTTTATTGATTTTTTGTCTTTATTTATATCATTAATTATGTCTCAAGTCATATGAGCTAACAAAAATAATATAAATATTCCACATATTGAGAATCATGACATAACAGGTCCTGTCGTTTGTGATAATCACAAGATAATATATTATTATAATTAGCATTATAAGATGATATTAATTATTCAGTTTTCTTGCATAAATAATGTACTTGGAGTTTTACATATATGTTCAAAAGTTTTATAAATTAATCATTTCTATTTTGTTTTAATGAAACACTTGACCATGTATAAATGAGACACTTGACCATGTATAAATGAGACACTTGGCCACGTACAAATGAGACACTTGACCATGTATAAATGAGACACTTGGCCACGTACAAATGAGACACTTGACCATGTATAAATGAGACACTTGGCCACGTACAAATGAGACACTTGACCATGTATAAATGAGACACTTGACCATGTATAAATGAGACACTTGATCATGTATAAATGAGACACTTGACCATGTATAAATGAGACACTTGGCCACGTACAAATGAGACACTTGACCATGTATAAATGAGACACTTGGCCACGTACAAATGAGACACTTGACCATGTATAAATGAGACACATGGCCACGTACAAATGAGACACTTGACCATGTATAAATGAGACACTTGACCATGTATAAATGAGACACTTGACCATGTACAAATGAGACACTTGACCATGTATAAATGAGACACTTGACCATGTATAAATGAGACACTTGACCATGTATAAATGAGACACTTGACCATGTACAAATGAGACACTTGACCATGTATAAATGAGACACTTGACCATGTATAAATGAGACACTTGGCCACGTACAAATGAGACACTTGACCATGTATAAATGAGACACTTGGCCACGTACAAATGAGACACTTGACCATGTACAAATGAGACACTTGGCCACGTACAAATGAGACACTTGACCATGTACAAATGAGACACTTGACCATGTATAAATGAGACACTTGACCATGTATAAATGAGACACTTGGCCACTTACAAATGAGACACTTGACCATGTATAAATGAGACACTTGGCCACGTACAAATGAGACACTTGACCATGTATAAATGAGACACTTGGCCATGAACAAATGAGACATTTAATAGTCCCACAGGTAACTCAGTAGTCCCACGGGTAACTCAGTAGTCCTACTGGTAACTCAGTAGTCCCACGGGTAACTCAGTAGTCCCACAGGGAAATCAGTAGGCCTACTGGTAACTCAGTAGTCTCATAGGTAACTGAGTAGTCCCACGGGTAATTCAGTAGTCCCACAGGTAACTGAGTGGTCCCACAGGTAACTCCTCAGTCCGACAGGTAACTCAGTAGTTCCACTGGTAACTCAGTAGTCCCACAAGGAACTCAGTAGTCCGACAGGTAACTCAGTAGTCCCACAAGGAACTCAGTAGTCCCACAGGGAAATCAGTAGTCTCACAGGTAACTCAGTACTCCCACAGGGGAACTCAGTAGTCCCACAGGTAACTCAGTAGTCCCACAGGTAACTCAGTAGTCCCACAGGAAACTCAGTAGCCCCACAGGTAACTCAGTAGTCCCACAGGTAACTCAGTAGTCCCAAAAGGAACTCAGTAGTCCAACAGAGAACTCAGTAGTCCCACAGGGAACTCAGTAGCCCCACAGGTAACTCAGTAGCCGCACAGGTAATGCAGTAGTCCCACAGAAAACTCAATAATCCCACAGGTAACTCAGTAGTCCCACAGGGAACTCAGTAGTCCCACAGGGAACTAGTAGTCCCACAGGTAACTCAGTAGTCCTACAGGGAACTCAGTAGTCCCACAGGGAACTCAGTAGTCCCACAGGTAACTGAGAAGTCCCACAGGTAACTCAGTAGTCCCACAGGGAACTCAGTAGTCCCACAGGTAACTCAGTAGTTCCATAGGGAACTCTGAAGTCCCACAGGGAACTCAATAATCTCACAGGTAACTCAGTAGTCCCACAGGGAACTCGGTAGTCCCACAGGGAACTCGGTAGTCCCACAGGGAACTCAGTAGTCCCACAAGTAACTCAGTAGTCACACTGGAAACTCAGTAGTCCCACAAGTAACTCAGTAGTCACACGGGGAACTCAGTAGTCCCACCGGGAACTCAGTAGTCCCACAGAGAACTCAGTAGTCCCACATGGAAGTCAGTAGTCCCAAAGGGAACTCAGTGGTCCCACAGGGAAACTCAGCAGTCCCACAGGGAAACTCAGTAGTCCCACAGAGAACTCAGTATTCCCACAGGGAACTCAGTAGTCCCACAGGGAACTCAGTAGTCCCACAGGGAACTCAGTAGTCCCACAATGAAATCAGTAGCCTCACAGGTAACTCAGTAGTCCCACAGGTAACTCAGTAGTCCCAAAGGGAATTCAGTAGCCCCACAGGTAACTCAGTAGTCCCACAGGGAACTCAGTAGCCCCACAGGTAACTCAGTAGTTCCTCAGAGAACTCAATAGTCCCACAGGTAACTCAGTAGTCCCACAGGGAACTTAGTAGTCCCACAGGTAACTCAGTAGTCCTACAGGGAACTCAGTTGTCCTACAAGAAACTCAGTAGTCCCACAGGTAACTCAGTAGTCCCACAGGAACTCAGTAGTCCCACAGGTAACTGAGTAGTCCCACAAGTAACTCTGTAGTCCCACAGGGAACTCAGTAGTCCCACAGGTAACTCAGTAGTCCCACAGGTAACTCAGCAGTCCCACAGGGAACTCTGTAGTCCCACAGGGAACTCAGTAATCCCACAGGTAAATCAGTAGTCCCACAGGAAACTCAGTAATCCCACGGGAAACTCAGTAGTCCCACAAGTAACTCAGTAGTCACACAGGGAACTCAGTAGTCCCACGGGGAACTCAGTAGTTTCACAGGGAACTCAGTAGTCCCACAGGGAACTCAGTAGTCCTACAGGGAAGTCAGTAGCTCCACAGGGGGAACTCAGTGGTCACACAGGGAAACTCAGTAGTCCCACAGGGAAACTCAGTAGTCCCACAGGGAAACTCAGTAGTCCCACAGGAAACTCAGCAGTTCCACAGGGAACTCAGTTCTCCCACAGGGAACTCAGTAGTCCCACAGGGAACTCAGTAGTCCCACAGGGAACTCAGTAGTCCCACAGGGAACTCAGTAGTCTCACAGGGAACTCAGTGGTCCCACAGGGAAACTCAGTAGTCCCACAGGGAAACTCAGTAGTCCCACAGGGAACTCAGTAGTCCCACAGGGAACTCAGTAGTCCCACAGGGAACTCAGTAGTCCCACAGGTAACTC